AAAACCCATGGGCGTCGTACCGGGATGGCGTATGAGTTTATTTCGTAACAATATTATCTATATACTTAAATATTTCAAGATGCCCAAATGAAAATTTGACAGTAGTCCAAAATTAATAATCCGGTTGTAACCACAAATTCTCCTATTTTTTAAGGTCCTCAAAATTAAACAAAGATATTTTAACTTTGAATCCATGATCTAGGACAATTTATTGTATTTATTGTGTAACATTACAACATTGTAACAAACATTTTTCCCTTGAAAATAAAATGTTATTTGTTAAGAAGTTACTAATTTCGATTAATGTCCTATAAACCCGTAGCGTCTTACCAAAATTTCCAAAAAGTTTGCTGCGGACTTTCTACAATAGGTTCTAAAATTTGCCCGAAAATATTTATTAGATATACTAAACAGAGGTAATAAAGGTATTATATTAAAAAGATTAAGCTGCACATTTTAAATGAAATTTAATTTACAAAATTTTGAAATGACGTCACCACTTTTTTGGATGGGATGAATCCATTACCCCTTAAACGTAAGCTAAGGATCCATCCAACGAGTGGCTACTTTTATGTTTTTTAGACGTTTCATGACCCCTAAAGTACGAAAAAGTAGGTATACCGTGTGTCTTTATCAATTTTTATTAGACAGGTAACCTCCAAAACTACAGGACCGACTGTTGTCAAATTTTATATGTATGTTGGGAATATCGTGCAGATAGTAAAACAATCGGACGACATACAAAATTTACAATAGTAAATTTTTATTTAAATTTTATAAATTAACATACTCCTGCACATCTGAGTCATGATTCCGTGTTGATTTTTTACCCTAGACATCAAGATTTTTAGAAAAAAAATCAAAATTGCATATCAACATTTTGCAATACATGATAGTTTTCCGGGTTGGAACCGTGTTAATTGAGTGTTTGGGCTCAATTAACACGATTCCAACCCGGAAAACGATCATGTATTGATTCCGATCGTGAAAGCCTATGAAATTATTAACATTTTGAAATTTAACTTTGAAACTGCAAAATCGGGGGCTCTGAAATTTTGGTAAATCATTAATCAAAATTTATGCGTTATCCCCTCCCAAAAAATTGATGACGTCATCAAATAAATCCTATCTAAAATATGCAAAATATGGTTTATTAATGCATTCACATTTTTTAGAAATACGCATACAAGGTGACTCAAAAAAAATAATAAATGTCGCAATATATTTTATTAATTAAATCAAGAACGCCTCGTCCCATTTTTTCAAAATTTTAGTAGACAGTATTGCTATTGTTAGTACCCTATTCAAATTAATATACGTGTCGTTGATTACATCATCATAAAATTGTGGTACATAAAAACTCACTTGAAACAGCACATAGCATGTTTCTTTATCTATACTTTAACAGTCCACACATCTTTGTTTTAACTCACAGAGGTTATCATAAAAAAATTTAATTAGTTAAATGCAATTTTAACATTTTTCAAAGGACCTTTAGGAACGAGGAAATAACTTTGGATCAATTTTTTGTTAGCGTTTACTGGTTGCAGAAATTATTTGTTTTGTAAAACGCCAGAAACTTAAACAGACGCCAAAATGATCCTGTTAGTCAACTCAAATCGGAAAATAAAAAAAATTAACAATTATATAAACTAACTAAACAACATATTTTAATTACATTTAACATGAATGCACTTAGTTTAAATCAAATTATTCATTTAAAATCTATTGTGTTTCTAGTGAGTTACAATGTGTATTGGTTTGCAAATAGTCCATTTTTTTAAGAAACAGTATGTTTTAAAAACGAACTTAACTAGCATTTTTAAAATACTTTATGACAACTTTTATAAATATTAAAAATAAAATGTGTCACATACAACTACATACAACTACCTGTAAAATAAATATTTAAAAATATAGTTTTCATCATTATCTATCTATCTTTGATAAGTGTAGAAATTTTCACATTAAACGCTCGGTGCACATGTTAGATATTATCCCTACTACACTGAAACTTGTTAACAAACAGCCAACGCGTTTCAACAGCTATGGTGTCATCTTCTAGGAACGAAGTTATTTAGCCGGAAAAAAAATGCGTCAACAGTTTGCTAAAAACTTCGGTGTCATGAAGATAACGTGTCGACATACTGTTAACATAAAATTGTTAATTACTCTTAAAATACATTCGCATGACAGGATGTTCTTTTAAAAATTGTATGTAAGACTGCAAAAAAGGTTTAATATTACCTAACTCTAGTGAGATCTTCTCAAACTAGCGTATTTGTGCTTGTATCTTTATCACTTGTCAGCAAATGCATATTTTTTTAGAAAATATATACACCAAATAAAAACAGATAATTCGAATAAAGCAAAGTGTTTAGTGTAAACTGTATAGAGCTACCAAGTTGCGGACAGGTTCTGCAGTGGCTTTGGTAAAAAAGATGCTATAATTTGCGCTTTAGGTAACCGAAGGAACAGGTTTTCTCATTTCGGGTCCACTTAATATAATCCCAATATCAGTTTATTCAGAAAATGATTTGATGAGTCGATTTCCAGTAAAATATTGACGGTTCAAATACCACACTAATCAACAATAGGTAAATCCTGTTTAACATGGTAGTAATGATACGTTTTTTTTGGAATGATTCGTAAATATTTAAATGCTAAATCCGACCAGCACAGAACCCTGAGAAATTTTTTAAGTATTATTAATCAATTGGTGAGATGTTCCTAAAATGTACTAGTTTTATTATTAACTGCACTAAAGTTGTTTAGAAAGGAGTTTCTTCTCGTCTGGAAAACATCAATCAGTGATTGTTATAGAGCTACTAATAATTTATTTAATAAATTTTAGATAAGTAAAATTGACTAAGTACGTTAGTTATAATAAAAAAACTGTTCTAAGCGATAATATGAAGTATTTGAAATTTTACACAAATGTGTTCAGCAGTTTCCAAGATGATGTGTGCGATAAAATTGACAGATATGTGGCAAATGTTAACCATCAAAAGGTCTCTGGTACAATACTTCTCAAGCTTACGCGCGGAAAGTAAAATGTAAAAGAAGTTAATCAGTCTAAATTGGTACGTATTTAATTTAAATTGATGCAATTATGTTGTTAAATATACTGGTTAACCAAGAGTCAGCAGGCAAATTTTAATTTTAAAAATCTGTTTAATCTGTTATACGACAGTTAGGTTTTTCTATAGCTAACTAGTTAATTTAAACAAAAATTATATAAAGTGGTATAGGGAGGGCAGACATCTTAGTGACAGTAAAACTCAAATAAAATTTATAAAAATAATTTTCTAATTTTTTAATTAAAGTTTCTTTTCTCAGCCTATTGAATTGTTGCGTGAAAACCATCTATCTGACGAATATGAGACGCCCATGGGCCATGAACATGCAGAGTATTATCCGAAAATGAACTCAGTCACGTAATGGATTTTGACAAAAAAAAGACAGCCGGGAGCCCATTGTTAGAAAAAGTAATATGTTATTATTTTATTATCCGTTAAAAATTGTAGTAATTAAATTTAATAAAGGTTGTGGAGAGTTAGGGGTTTTGGCGATCATTAAAATACCCACAGCAAACACGAGAAAAACTTTATAAAAAAAATCCATTTGAGAAACGGAAGAGCGAGAGACGAGTATAGTATTCTTTAACATTAACTGAAGAATATGTATTATTTGGAAATATTTCAGTTTCGATATAAAACCTAATTTAAGAAAAGAATTACTTTTGTAAAAGCTCTAGAACATGTTTGTCTAGAAAATACGAGAATAAGGAAAGAGATATTTCGATTTATAGACTGGGTTTACAACTGAAAAGAAAATTAGTTCGCCAAAAAGAAACACATGAGAAGGAGTTTGGTAAAGGTTTTTGTATATTCCACTGGAAATGGATTTGCTATAGAGCACAAAAAGTTAAAACTGAGCGTTCTAAAAGACTAGAGAAAAATTTTAACGTACTTAGTTGCAAGAATGGAACCTGTAAGTCTAACCGCGTTGTTCTAGCTTTAACACTTGGCTATAACGACGGCGAATATAAATGTAGAACGAGAAACGAAAAACATGATCAAATGTAAAAGGAATGAGAAAAAAAAGTGGTAGACATTAAACCCTGTTTACGGAAATAAACTTCGACAAGGCATCAGGACGTGGACCAGAATTTTAACAATAGAGTAAACAATGCAGTTCATGAGTGGAGCACAAGACATAAGAAGAGTCGGTTGCTTGATGGGCTTGCAAGAAAACTATCGTGTACAATGAGTTGAACAGAGTTGAAAGGGGCGATGTGTTATTAGACTGTTAATTGTTTATACAAGTTAAAGTTGTTTTAATACAACTTATAATGTTTTGAATATGAACCTACACTGAAAAACTTAGTCAAAACCCTGTAGGATGTTTTAGGCATTAAAGTTCATTATCAGGAAATAGATTTTAACGTTCGTGTTCTTTTTTATGTATGTACATTTTGATAAAGATTTTGAATAGCTTTAAAAAAACAACTATTTTAATTATTATATGACAAACAGAAGAAGTATCATTGATTAATTTAAACAGGGATGATTTTTGCGAAAATATCTTTTAATTGTCGGTTGCAATGGGAGCGCTGTCCTTACGTACAGAAGCTCTTTCAATATAAAGCTAAGACGATTTTCAGAAAAAAAGTATCTGTCTTTGAAGTTAATTATATAATAATCCTTGTAATACCCGGTGAAATACCGACACCGGCATAGAGTTTTAATCATTTGGAAAGTTACGATTTTGTAACATGAAATTTTTATGTTGGTAGTAAAGTGGAGCTCTCGGTAAAACAGGTAGATATAATGTCAAATAGCACACCGTACCTTTTACCTGATAAAAATTCAGGGTGTAAACTTGGAATTGGCCATATATAAAATATCTATAATACTATAGAGTGGGGTGTCTTTCAGTGAAGAAGGGGAAACTCGATGGGACCTGTGGGCAAGCGCGAATAACAGTTCGAACTTGTGCGTCTGAGGAGGAGGTTTGTGTCAACATGTCTCTGACGTTGGACACGCGTTAATGTGTAATGTGATCCAAGATAAACATTAAGCTAATTCGTGTTTAAACCAGATAAAATTAGGCGGCACATTTTACACAAATTTGTGGGGGCAAGTTTGAGATTTCGAATTTGTTGTCTGAAAATGGATTGTTTAATTATGTGGAAATCCTAAATGGTTTCGGTGGATACGCAAGTTCAGTGTTGTGTAAATTATTATTGCGTGTTGGATTATTCTGCTACATTAGGGTGAGTTTTTTGCGTTCGCCAATGTCCAACGCATATGTGTAATTTGATTTGTTCTCGGCCGACCGGCATTTGATTAAATTCGCACAATTTTTTAAAACGGCTGAATATTTTAGCGAAGGCATGTAATTTGCCATCGTTCGAAAGAACAAGATTGAAAACTAGCTTAATAAGAAATCGCCCACAATGTTACTTTTAAAAAAAATATTTATACGTAATGATAATAATTATTATAGGCAATAATTTATGAAAACCAATTCAATGCATAAATACCCATAAATTATACCCTGCAACAATTAATTTTATGGATTGGCTAAAATTGTTCTTTTTTTTTTACAAAAACTTTTTAGAAACGATTAATAATAATATAAATATGTAGCAACTAAAAAATGGCAAAGTCATTAGTTAATAGTGTGTTTAAGATTATTGGAGTTTAAAAGGTCTGACACTTTAAAATTTTATTTCAAAAAGAGAGAAAGAGAGAGAGAGAGAGAGAGAGAGAAAAGAAGCGAAAGACCTGACCAATGTGGCAGGTACAATTAGAAAAAGAATGGTAATTTTTCCACCTGCTAATCCAATCTTTCTGTTGGTACTTAAGAAAGGAGTACATAGATGTCAAAAATTTTAAGTTTTAGGTATGACGCATTAAATTATATTTTTCAATAATATAAAATCAGTTCTGTTTGAGGCTTTTTTGTTATAACTCAAGTACTGTGACTAAAATGTCTTCTTCATTTCTGAATGGTTTCACGAGGTAAATATTCTCGTATTTTAAGAGGATATGAAAATTAAAATTGACAATTTATAACAACACTTGGTAACCACAATGTTGATATTTTGTACAGTTTTGACATTGTTTTAAAAATGTTCCAAAAATGAATTAAATTGTTAATTTCATCCTTTAATAATTTTTATATATTCACATAACGTAAAAAATAATACGCTACCTAAAGCTGATTTAAACAACACTTGAAGATATATAAACAAACATGCATAAGGTATACCCACCTTATACCTTCTTCCATGGTCAAAAGAAGAGCGCTAATTCAAAAATCTATTTTAATACAATCTTTAAAACATTTTTAATATACCTATAATTTGTTGTATCCAGAAAAAGTTGAATTCTACAATTTTAGTGGATAGTGTGTGCTTACCTGAAGATAACTTTTCTAAGGAAACCCCCCGAAAAGAGGTCAAATATTGATTTCTAACTTTTTTCAGATATGTGTAGTAAAACCAGTAGGTGTCGATCAATAAATCTAATATCCTCTTGCTACACGCGAAATTTACAATGTTTGCATTAAGAGATCTTGAAGATATATGTATATTCTATATAGGTAACATATAAAATGATACAGTTAACATATTACTTTGTTGTTTAAGTACAACGACACTAAAATCTTTTCAAAAACATGTCCCATCATAGTTCTGAACAAGTCTGGTGTAAATAGAAGATTTATTTGACTTGAAATAATTCAACAAGTGTTGTTCGCATTGTAGCGGCTATTAAGTTTATCACACAAAAATCATTCTCAACTCTTCCTATTACTGTAGCTTAAAGAACCAAACGGTACATAAAATCGTCTAGTTTTTGGCGATAAACAAAAACAAAAGTACATAGACGCTTGTATTGATGTATATTCATCCTTGCTTTAAATTTAAATTGGTCTAAAAAGTTTAGACACGTTTCGCCTTCCTTCTAAAGCGTGACAATATTTCTCCTTATCAGTTTCTCAAAATATTGATACACTATTAAATCACAAATAATGGAGTATATCACACTATAAATTTTAAGCCAGATTTAGTCAATCAATTTTTGGAAGAGATAAATAATAAAGATTTTGTTAGTATTGTGTAAGATAATTAAATATTAAAGCATTGTTAGTGTTTTACCGAAAATTTTAAAGAAATTCATCATTATTCAGTGTCTTATACAAATTGAAAATGTTGCTTCCAACAACTTTATTTAGTAAAAAAAACAGTTTTATGAGGACAAATATATAAATTTGGATACGTAGAATATTACACCTGTAAGCAACATTCTGTTTCTAAAATTTCAGAAGAATATTTTTGATTTGATGACTACAGAAATTGTTTTATTAATTTTTTTGTCATCCTCTGTATATACCGTTTAGGATGTCTTTAGACAAAGGTAGGGCATGTAAATCTAGTAATTTGGTTGGCAACCAATTTCGCATATGCAAATATCCCTAATGAAAAATGAAATCTATCACATTAGGTTAAGTTGTAAGGTTAGAAAATCTGACAAAAACTGTAACACTGTTGCCAATAATTTCAAATTTTGGATTTTCCATTCCAATAAGTACGATTCAAAGCACTGAAGTAAACAATTATTATTTCAATATTTAATAATTAGCAGTTAACATAAAATAATGAAAAGGAGTAAATAGCTTAATAATCTCTATCGCTTCTGCACGCTTCTTGCGCTTTAGGAGTGTTCATGCTAGTTCCTAGTTCGAGTTGATGGTACTCAAAATTTGGATGGAATAGATGGATCAAGAGACAAAAGCCACCTGTATGTTTTTACAGCTGTTTGAATAATATCCAAAAGGTAACCATCCTCATATAAAAATAAATTGTAATAAAGTATACCTAATTAAAGACTATGTAAATGACGAATTCTGCATACTTATATGATGTCGGATTTTTTTTTTTTTTTTCTAAATGAAATATGTAATCTTAACATGTTTTTGTGCACATTCGTTGTATTGCCAAATTAGTTGTTGCAGGTCTTTTTGAAAAAGTGCCAGAAGAGAAGTTTCAAATTTTCGTCTTTAGTGACGATAATTTTCTCTATAGTTGCGCGACTGACTTACAAAAATTGTTTAATTAACAAATATTTAAAAACTTTAAAAGTCACAGAATATATGTTCACTATTCCCATCATTAACTCTTCACACTTGAGTTGGCGACCATTTTTGTTCATCTGCAAGTAGCACCTTTTTATTGAAATTTTGCAACTGATAATGTGATTTCTAAATAACAATAAATGTGGCAAATCAGCTATGAATGAACGTTAGTCTCACAAACTGACAGACAAACCGTTCTGTCAATGAATTAGTTTATTTAACGTGAAGAAAAAATTTCATAGCTCACATTTTGTCTAAGAACATCCTGAAGAGTTTATAACTAATTCTAAAAAATTTAAAAATGCATTATCAAAACAGATACAATGTTGGATCTAAAAGCACTTTTTTACGGAACAGTCTTATTTTTTTTAAATGATGTCAGATTTCTTTAAGGAAAAAATATACAAATTTACAGTGTCTTACAAAAATGTGCAAGGAATCAATTCTGTAACCCATTGCATAATATTCAATATATGGATCGATTCTTGTTAAACCATATACAGCATGTTGCAATACAAATTTCAAACTATTTATAAATACTTAGCAAAGTTTTGCGAATACGTCATAATTTTTTTAGTTGAGATAAACAGACAGTAATTTATTAAAGGTAGCGTTAATTATATATTATTGTTCATCTCGTCAAGTCAGAATTAATACAAGAGGACGTAATCCTATTCATGTATTTGTCGTATGGCAAAGCAGGTCCGACTTTTGAGAGAGTAATCAAGTGATCATATTAATTAAAGTTAAACTCTACTTTCATTATCTTACTATGGCCAGCTAACATTATGTTCTATACAATAACATATTATACCATATACCATAATACTGCTAGTTTAAATTATAAAAGTTAGAAACTTTCAGGTCATGTTGACAGATTTTTTACGTAATTTAGTATTTTTTTATTAAATGACAGTTCCATGATTTTCGTTAAATACCCTGAATTTTTTTTTGATCATTATTCGAAAGCAGATTTCTATTTCAGTTATTTTTATTGTTGTTTAAAAAAATATATGTTTTCAACTATTGTACAATTCAACAATTTCAATAACATTTAAGACTTTGATATAAATCTTAGTTCTTTCTTGTTTAAAGACGCAGAAATAAGACTTACGTTATAGAAATGGTTTGGTACTTAATTTTAATCTTATTTTAAACTTTTAAAATACTTCCTTTCACCACCACCATAACACAGGCCGGTTTAAACTAATAATTTCACAGTTTATTCCAGACAGTTCTTCATAGAATTTATAGAAATTTTAGTATGATGCTAACGTTATTTCAAGATATATAGAACATCATCCATAAATTGGATGACATTATTTAAAACAAACTTGGTTGAAGTTTATTTCGACAAACTTCTCTCGCCCCTGAAGTACAGTCCAACAAATCCCCGTTTCTGTGAAAAGTTATAAAATTTTATTTGACGATTTTTGTTTATGATAACAGCTATAAATTAAAAACCGGTGACAAATAAAACACCACGAAGGCGCAAAATTCAAGGGGACACGGTCGCGATAAATGAACAATATTTAAAGCAGATAATCGCCGGAAAAAATATATTCTCAGTACATGCGTAGATAACTTGAACTATTTTGGTTATATTTTGAAAGAATTCTACTATCAGCACATTCAGATAACAAGCATCAGCGGCGATCGATCAAAATATGCATTTGTGAAAATGAAATTTGATTGATCAATCATCATCAATTTCAAAATTAAATTGTAAAATTTTTTGGTTCTTTTTTCAAAAATTTGCATACCGAGGCAAAAAACTTAACGCGGATTCATAAATCACACATGCAGGAGTATATGTTATTTTATACAATTTAAAGAAAATGTATGCAACAAAATTGTAAAATGACGTCATTGCGGGAGGGGGGCATAAACGAAAAAAAAAATGATTAACGATTTACCGTGCCTCCGAAAACCTCAACACGGTTGCAAGATATTAGAGCATTCGGTTTTATACTGTTTGAAATTTTAAATTGTAAAATGTTATACAATTTAGATTTTTTTATAAAAATCTGGATATCTAGGGTAAAAACTAAAAACAGACAAAATTTGGTTAGCGTTTTAACATCTACAAGATATTCCTAATATATGTACATATAAAATTTGGCAACAATCGGT